CCTGCCCCAGCCCGGCCAAGGGGGCTGCGCCTATTGGCAGGCGGTAGGACAGCACATTCCCATCCAGCAGGCCCTCCGGCTAGGAGCCAGACATGCCAGGGCTGCTGCTTCCCCACAGGCCGTGCAGCAGCTAGTAGGCCAGGTTGGCATTGCTGGCAGGAGCAGCCAGGATTCCTTTCTGACTGGATGTTCCTGTCCAAAACTCCAACCTCTTCCATGGCACATTTGGCTGCCCTCCCTGCAGTCAGGCCTGGATGAAGAGCAGAAGAGAGCCACTTCCAGTCACTGCCTGTGAGAGAGCCTGGCTGGGTGTGTGTGTGTTCCCTGCAGGGCTCAGCTTTTGGGAACAGGGTCAGTCTCTCACCATGCTAGAGGGTGGGATCGTACAGCTCATTTGGCTGCTGCCCTTGAAGCTGAGCCGTGGTGTTAGGCAGCCTGATGCTACAGACAGATGTTCTACCCAGCGGTAGCTGCTTGTGGGCCCGTAGCTGGCAGGAGGCCTGCCCAAGAGTCTCACTGCATTGCAGATTAGTGTCCCAGAGGTGGGTGGCAAAATGGATCCAAATGTTTCGTGAGCTGGATCCTTCCTGTGGGGCTTATTTGGTCCGCCATGAGTCTAAAGGTCTGTGTGCTCTGTACCAAATATTCTTGGTTTAATGCATGTAAATGCTAATTCCTCGTGTCTGCTTGGTAACATTTAAACTGTTTAATTATGATCTCAATTTCATAATTACCTTTTTACAAAAGGGACTGTGTTTTGTCAATACGGTATACCAAAGGATTTTTTCTTTTGTCAAAGAACATACTTGAAAGAAAGTGGATGTTATTGTATTATTTTAATAGTTTTCTTGCTGAGATATTTCATTCAGATGTATCCAGGGAAATTCTCATATTGCCATGTTTAGATTCATATATTTTGAACTATTCTCACATTTCTAAGAACCTCTTATTTTGTAATCCTCCCAAAGATTAAAGTTCAGTTCAAAGTTTGGAAGAGATAAAAGGAAAAAGTAAATAGAGCCATAAAACCTCAACCAGATTGCACACCAGCTATAAATATTTGCCTCTTATAGGAGTGATTTACCATTTTCTTTATCCAAGTGGAAGGTAGGAGCCTGAACGTGTGTATTGGAGCAGCAGAAACTGAACATAGAAGGTAAATATTATTTTGTTGTATAATATAAAATTAAAACATCTTCATGAGTACGTCTGCGAGTAAATTAAAAACCCGGGGCAGTGTTAGAGGACAATTTTCCCTCTAATATTTTTCATGCTTGGATGGGTTCAATTTTCTTTTTGGTGGGTTAAAATGTCTTATCTGCAACACAAATATTGACGTAGTATATGAATGTGTACAACTTGCACAAACAAGGATTCCATATCTAGGGGTCATAGTGGACCACAAGTTGAATATGAGTCAACAGTGTGATGCTGTTGCAAAAAAAGCAAATATGATTCTAGGTTGTATCAACAGGTGTGTTGTAAGCAAAACTCGTGAAGTCATTCTGCCGCTCTACTCTGCACTAGTTAGGCCTAAGCTGGAGTACTGTGTCCAGTTCTGGACGCCACATTTCAAGAAAGATGTGGAGAAATTGGAAAGGGTACAGAGAAGAGCGACAAGAATGATTAAAGGTTTAGAGAACATGACCTATGAAGCCAGGCTTCATGAACTGGGCTTGTTTAGTTTGGAAAAAAGAAGATTAAGGGGGGACATGATAGCGGTTTTCAAATATCTAAAAGGGTGTCACAAGGAGGAAGGAGAAAATTTGTTCCTCTTGGTTTCTGAGGACAGGACAAGGAGTAATGGGCTTAAAGTGCAGCAGGGGAGGTTTAGATTGGACATTAGGAAAAAATTCCTAACTGTCAGGGTGGTCAAATATTGGAATAAATTGCCAAGGGAGGTGGTGGAATCTCCCTCTCTGGAGGTATTTAAGAACAGGTTAGATAGACATCTGTCAGGGATGGTGTAGACGGAGCTTGGTCCTGCCTTGAGGGTGGGGGGCTGGACTCGATGACCTCTTGAGGTCCCTTCCAGTCCTATTATTCTATGATTCTATGATATATAAATATATATTGTAAATCATCTATAAGTGTGGAAGGAAATATATTAAAAGAAGGGATAGTTAATATGAAGCAGTATGTATATTTATTTAATATGAAATCAAATAAAAAGAAAATTAACACTACCCTTGGTGTACATGTATTATCATTCTTTCTAACAACTCAAGCTAGTAAACACACCAAAAGGCCTATTATCCACACATAGCTCAGCTTTAAGATGCTAAACAAATCTGAGTCAACTAGAAATAGTCAAAACAATGAGAAGTCCTGTGGCACCTTATAGACTAACAGATTTATTGGAGCATAAGATTTCAAGGGCAAAGACCCACTTCGTCAGATTCAGACTAACACGGCTACCCCTCTGATACTAGAAATAGTCATGCTCTCCTCGCAAATATTAGTACAATATTTACTGACACTGTGAAGGAGAGTAAAATGCAGTCACTCAGTTTCATAGGGTATGTTTACACAGCAAAGTTATTTCAAAATAGCCATTATTTCAAAATAACTTTAGTAGTGTCTACACAGCCAAACTGCTATTTCAAAATTAAATCGAAATAGTGGAGCACTTATTTCGAATTTGGTAAACCTCATTCCATGAGGAATAAGCTGTGTAGATGCTTATTTCGAAATAGGAGGCCTCCAGCCCTTCCCAGGTTACCCTGTTGGCTACTCTGGGCCAAACCAGGAAAACTCTTCTGCTCCTCCCCAGCCCCGGAGCCCTTAAAGGGGTAGACTCTGGCCACAGTGCCTTTGCCAGCTGCAAGCCTGCCAGCCCAGAGCCAGCAGTCACTGCCCCTGGCCCAGCATGAGCCAGCAACCCACTGGCACCCAGACCCCACCCACCCACCCCATGTGCCAAAAAGCCACTGGCAGCCAGCCCTCCATCGCACCCCAGGAGCAGTCTGCCAACTCCCAGGAGCCTGCCAAGGGCCAGAAAAGGTGGGTGCCTTCCTGGTTCAGTGTGGAGATCATGGCCCTGATTAAGGCTTGGGGGGGAGGCCTCCAATGTCCATGATCTCTGCACTGGACACAGGAACCTAGCAGATGGCTGCTAGCCTGGCCACCAAAGTCCACATGCGCACCCAGGACAAGGTGCACATGAAGATAAAGGAGCTGAGGCAGGCCTATGCCAGGGCCACAGGGGGCAGCTCCCAAACAGGGGCTGACCCAGACCCCTACCCCTATTATGATACCCTGGACCACATCCTGGGGGGGGGTCAAACGGTCCGTGCCCCCCAGGTGGTCATCAACCCCGGGGGCAGAGGGTCCTGACCAGGGCATGGAGGAGGAAGTGGAGGAGGAGGAGGACAATGGCCAGGAGTCGCAGGAGCCTGGAGGAAGCGTGGCACTCACCCAGGATCCCCAAGGCGTCACAGCAGCCATGTCACCGGTGTCGTCCGAGGCCAGGGAGGTCTCAACATGTGAGTGCCATCACTATTCCCTTATGCGGGGCAAGGAGGGGGGGAGAGGAAGACCAAGGAATGCGCCTGTGGGCCTTGCTGACCATGAAGTCCTGTACATGAAGGAAACCACTTGGATGCAGCAGCACCCCTAGCGCTAGCACCTGTGTCTTCTGGTCTCAAGCATCCACAGCCACTCTTCCTTTCTCTCACAGTCACCCCAATTCTCAAAATTAGTTCTTCCCCCCACACAGACATTGTTTTGGATGAAATTAGCTACACATGGATCTTCACAGCAGAGGCAGGGCACATCTCCCCTCCCGCTTCACCCTCACACTATATATACAGGCAGTCCCTGGGTTACATGGATCCGACTTACATCGGATCCCTACTTACAAACGGGGTGAGGCAACCCCGCACTAGCTGCTTCC